GGCATAATCTAATAGGGATTTAGATATAAGGAAAGGACAGATGGAGGTTGGGGGGAGGGGTTGCAATATGTCTTATGTAGACAGGGAGAACAACTCTCTCTTTAGGAATCTAGATAAAAAACAAAGAAAGGACAGATGGAGCTGGTCCTGTGTGTGGTGTGTGGATGGGGAAGGGGGCCTAATCTTTTAGGGATTTAGACATAAAGAAAGGGGGAACATGGAGATAAAGTCTCTTTTAGGGATCTTGAATCAAGGAAAAGGTAAACAAGGGAAACAATTCTCTTCTAGGGATTTAAAGATTGGAAAGGGAAAACAGGGGTACAATTATCTTCTAGGGATCATAATTTAAGAAAAGGGTATCCTTAAGACAAGGATAAGGATTCTCTTAGGAACACAGAAGTCTATATACACAGGGAAGAATAATCCAAGGGAAACAACTCACAGGGAGGGAGCCTTTGAGGTAGACACAGGCTGTTGAGAGGTTGCCATGGAGAATGTTCTGCTCATGTAAGCACATGAGTCCTTCAGCAATATCATGTACAATCATCCTCTGACATGTCTCAGGTAGGGGAGTGTCCAGGCGGTACAGGAAGTCCTGTAATGTTCCGTTGTTGGTCAGCTCCAGACAAATGATCCTGTAACAGACAGACATACTGACAAGGTCACAAGTGGCTAAGGTTATGTATTGACAAGGTCAAAAGTGGCTAAAGTTATATACTGACAAGTTCACAAGTGGCTAAGGTTATGTATTGACAACGTCACAAGTGGCTAAGTTTATGTATTGACAAGATCACAAGTGGCTAAAGTTATATACTGACAAGGTCACAAGTGGCTAAGGTTATATATTGACAAGGTCACAAGTGGCTAAGGTTATATATTGACAAGGTCAAAAGTGGCTAAAGTTATATACTGACAAGGTCACAAGTGGCTAAATTTATATGTTGACAAGGTCACAAGTGGCTAAAGTTTTACTGACAACGTCACAAGTGGCAATAGTAATACTGACAAGGTCACAAGTGGTTATAGTTATACTGACGAGGTCAAAAGTGGCTATAGTTAGAATTACAAGGTCACAAGTGGCTACAGTTAGAATGACAAGGTCACAAGTGGTTATAGTTATACTGACAAGGTCGCAAGTGGTTATAGTTAGAATGACAAGGTCACAAGTGGTTATAGTTATACTGACAAGGTCGCAAGTGGTTATAGTTAGAATGACAAGGTCACAAGTGGTTATAGTTATACTGACAAGGTCGCAAGTGGTTATAGTTAGAATGACAAGGTCACAAGTGGTTATAGTTATACTGACGAGGTCACAAGTGGATATAGTTATACTGACAAGGTCACAAGTGGTTATAGTTATACTGACAAGGTCACAAGTGGTTATAGTTAGAATGACAAGGTCACAAGTGGCTTTAGTTATACTGACAAGGTCATAAGTGGTTATAGTTATACTGACAAGCTCACAAGTGGCTATAGTTAGAATTACAAGGTCATAAGTGGTTATAGTTATACTGACAAGGTCACAAGTGGTTATAGTTATACTGACAAGGTCACAAGTGGCTATAGTTAGAATGACAAGGTCACACGTGGTTATAGTTATACTGATAAGGTCACAAGTGGCTATAGTTATATTGACGAGGTCACAAGTGGTTATAGTTATACTGACAAGGTCACAAGTGGTTATAGTTAGAATGACAAGGTCACAAGTGGCTATAGTTAGAATGACAAGGTCACAAGTGGCTATAGTTATAACTGACAAGGTCACAAGTGGTTATAGTTATACTGACAAGGTCACAAATGGCTATAAATAGAATGACAAGGTCACAAGTGGTTATAGTTATACTGACAAGGTCACAAGTGGCTTTAGTTATACTGACAAGGTCACAAGTGGTTATTGTTATACAGACAAGGTCACAAGTGGTTATAGTTATACTGACAAGGTCACAAGTGGCTGTAGTTAGAATGACAAGGTCACAAGTGGTTATTAGTTATACTGACAAGGTCACAAGTGGTTATAGTTATACTGACAATGTCACAAGTGGTTATTCAGTGTGTAGTTATACTGACAAGGTCACGAGTGGCGGTAGTTAGAATGACAAGGTCACAAGTGGTTATTCAGTGTGTAGTTATATTGACAAGGTCACAAGTGGCTGTAGTTAGAATGAAAAGGTCACAAGTGGTTATTAGTTATACTGACAAGGTCACAAGGGGTTATAGTTATACTGACAAGGTCACAAATTGCTATAAATAGAATGACAAGGTCACAAGTGGTTATTATTTATACTGACAAGGTCACAAGTGGTTATAGTTATACTGACAAGGTCACAAGTGGTTATTCAGTGTGTAGTTATACTGACAAGGTCACAAATTGGATAGACACAGTAACCTGATGCAATAACCAAATATCTAGAATCAAAATCATCTCAAGAGGATAATTATACTGTGTAGTATCTATAGAGCCTAGAGAACAATCCAACCTACTTACCTAGAGTCACTGGTGATGACCTCACCCGTGATCAAGGTCATCGTCTCATAGTAAGGGTTGGAGCTGCTTGTCCACAGACACTGGAGCAGGCTAGGATGCTGAGCCTTTCTGAGCATGCCCAGTACCACTATTTCCTGTGCCCATGTCTTCACGTGTCGTGGCCCATACACCTTCATCAGACCACGCTTCACCGTTCCTTTGGAGATGTTCCATAATACTCGGAGACGGATCTTCCCTGGAGCCTGAAAATTACAGATATATTTTTCCAATGATATACGATGTTCTAAATTTTTGTTATATTTTAAAATTCTTCATCATAACAAGAGGAAAGCAATGATTAACAGTATAATATCAGTATTACTTATAGATATAGCCTATATCTAATCCTAACCCATACACTTACAGTATAATATATACCTTACCTAAAAATATCTCTGTAAACTACACATACATACAAATTACATGTAAACAACCATATATCCTACTTAATCCTCCCATCTACACCTAACCCTCTAATCTACACCTAAATCCTATATCATACCAATCCTTAACCTACAACTTATAATGTAATCTTCACTTAACCTTCTAGCCTACTCTTAACCCTCTAACCTACACCTAATAATGTAACCTACTCTTAACCCTCTAACCTACACCTAATAATGTAACCTACTCTTAACCCTCTAACCTACACCTAATAATGTAACCTACACCTAACCCTCTAACCTACACCTAATAATGTAACCTACTCCTAACCCTCTAACCTACACCTAACCCTCTAACCTACACCTAACCCTCTAACCTACACCTAATAATGTAACCTACACCTAACCCTCTAACCTACACCTAATAATGTAACCTACACCTAACCCTCTAACCTACACCTAATAATGTAACCTACACCTAACCCTCTAACCTACACCTAATAATGTAACCTACACCTAACCCTCTAACCTACACCTAATAATGTAACCTACACCTAACCCTCTAACCTACACCTAATAATGTAACCTACACCTAACCCTCTAACCTACACCTAACCCTCTAACCTACACCTAACCCTCTAACCTACACCTAACCCTCTAACCTACACCTAACCCTCTAACCTACACCTAACCCTCTAACCTACACCTAACCCTCTAACCTACACCTAACCCTCTAACCTACACCTAACCCTCTAACCTACACCTAACCCTCTAACCTACACCTAACCCTCTAACCTACACCTAACCCTCTAACCTACACCTAACCCTCTAACCTACACCTAATAATGTAACCTACACCTAACCCTCTAACCTACACTTACCGGTAACCCTCTAACCTACACCTGACCATATATCATACCAATCCTAAAACTACAACTTATAATATAACTTACACTTAACCCTTTAACCTACACTTAACCTATAACCATTTACTTAACCTATAACCATCACTTTACCTATAACTAACACTTTACTCTTTAACCTTACCTAAACTTAACCATTAACCTACACTTAACCTATTATATCTTACACTTAACCCTTTAACCTTCACTTAACCTATAACTTATACTTAACCTATAACCTTCACTTGAAATATAACCTTCACTTAAAATATAACCACTCAACCCAACCTACCTAGGTATAACCTACACTTAACCTATAACCTACACTTAACCTACCTAGGTATAACCTACACTTAACCTATAACCTACACTTAACCTACCTAGGTATAACCTATACTTAACCTATAACCTACACTTAACCTACCTAGGTATAACCTACACTTAACCTATAACCTACACTTAACCTACCTAGGTATAACCTACACTTAACCTATAACCTACACTTAACCCTTTAACTGAACATACCACCTCACTGACATGACTGGGTGTCCTTACACTCCCATACACTCCATGGAATCAATCATAATAATTGTTTTATCCTTTATCGTTCATGCATTAACAGTTGTTAAGGAAATATATGGACATGAAAATGTAATCATTATTTCTATGGGGTGGCCATTCTGTCCACTGACTGTAGTTAAAGCTCGCGGTGTGGTTAGCTTACATCACATGATGGGTTTTAACATGTTTTGTGATGAAACCTCCCTTTGTGTCTAACTTGTTACTTGCTAAACAGTTATACATTCAGTAAGAATGAAGCTGAATATCAAGAGAGAACAATTTAACAAAAGAATAACTACTGACTTGTATATATTATCATTAGTTGCATTACTGCTAGGTAGCCTAGAGGTCGTGTGGGTCACCAGGTACACCTGCCATACCTGTATATTTATACATGTCCTACACTGTTACAATACCTCCTCTGTATCACACAGCCTCCACACACATTGCTTACATATACACTCCTTGTTTATCTTGTAAAAAGTGCTAAGTTGCAGTCTAAATTAATAACACTTTCATTGAAATATGTTGCAAATGTATGTAAAATATATCAAATAATGACATCCACATATGTTTATAAATTCATTATTTACTTCTTTCAATTCTTGGACACATAACATCTAAATAATAGATTGCTTCCATAAGAGAAACTTAAATGAAAGTTGTTGAAGTGACGTCATAGGGAACAATGGATGGAGGATTGTATATTTCAAAAGTTTAACAACCACAAGGAGACTTGGACCGTGACCCTCTATTATGGTGGCTGTTTACTGTGACGCTTTGCTTAGGTGGTACATAACACTCATTGTTTTGTTTTATTTTCAATATTGAATTATTGATCTTGGCTGTAAAATCAATCAAATGCTGAATTGACAGCAAACAAGAGACCTTCCACATAAAAGTAGATGGCTCGATGAGGTAGTGTGTTGTACCCGAGTATAATGAGATTCTCCAGGACGGGAGAATATCCCAGTAGATGTACCTGTATATCCCTGGTAGTTGTACCTGTGATCATGTAGGAACAGGCCACAGGTGTATTGATGGCAGACTTTTTCATGTCCCCTGCCCTATCCAACAATTGCCTGATAAAAGTTTTAACACTGAAATGTGATTGAAATTGTTGAGGTCCGTCAGCTAATGTATTTACGTACCCTTTTATTGATTCTATTGCGATAAATTTACATTCAATCAGTCGCGAGAGTGTTCCCTTACAACATTTTTCATTACATTTTTATTATTGACAATGTGGGGTTTAAGTCAAATTCTTATTCAATGCATATATTCGACTTTAAGATCTGATTTTAAAAAGTCATATATATATCGTAGGAGGTAATACAGAGTTGTATGCATATGCCAGGTTAGTGAATACCTACAAGTCATTAGTGTCGTAAACCAGTGCTTGTATGTAAGGCAGTCCAAATCTAATAAAGTAACGTCATTTATCTAACTCTTTACAAAACTTGAATTGAATTAAAGATAAAATACAAATGTTTGAATTCATTCAGAAACAAATGTTGTGTCAATTCTTACAGAAAATAAAAGAGACAGATAATAAAGTTGAGGAAAAAACCCATAAGTAACCAACATCAATGTGAGGTACTTAACATAGGTGAGTCAGTGGGGGGTTCTGAATATTTGTGAGTCAGTGTGGGGTACTGAATATTTGTGAGTCAGTGGGGGGTACTGAATATTTGTGTGTCAGTGGGGGTACTGAATATTTGTGAGTCAGTGTGGGGTACTGAATATTTGTGAGTCAGTGTGGGGTACTGAATATTTGTGTGTCAGTGGGGGTACTAGATATTTGTGAGTCAGTGTGGGGTACTGAATATTTGTGAGTCAGTGGGGGGTACTGAATTTTTGTGTGTCAGTGGGGGTACTGAATATTTGTGAGTCAGTGTGGGGTACTAAATATTTGTGAGTCAGTGTGGGGTAGTAAATATTTGTGAGTCAGTGGGGGGGTACTAAATATTTGTGAGTCAGTGTGGGGTACTGAATATTTGTAAGTCAGTGTGGGGTACTGAATATTTGTGAGTCAGTGGGGGGGTACTAAATATTTGTGAGTCAGTGTGGGGTAGTAAATATTTGTGAGTCAGTGGGGGGGTACTGAATATTGGTGAGTCAGTGGGGGGTACTGAATATTGGTGAGTCAGTGTGGGGTACTGAATATTGGTGAGACAGTGTTGAGTATATTGGTGAGTTAATGTTGGGAACTTAATATTATTATTAATAATACTTATTATCAGCACATGTAGAATCTATGAATGGGCACAATTTTACTTCCCGTTTAAAATCTAGTAACCTGATAAAACCTTGCCAACATCACATCTCTAGTGAACAGTGCTGGATTTCTATATCCCGTTTTAGATTATATAGCAAAGTCCCTATATAGTGTTATGGCACACATTATACAAGTTTCATAACCTATTATATGTTTAAGTCATATTTTCTACAATCATCCATATTTTATACTGTACTTGAAGTGTAGTACAGTATAGATTTCTGAACCTTTTCTTCAGGGAC